TGACAGTTGGAGGCAAGTTGTCTGGGATACTTCCTGCGATGTGATTATTGCTTAAATCCCTGTTAAATAAAATAGTGCAAAGCACTGTAAGTTCTCGACATGGAGAAACGAAAAGACTTGGCTAATTGAATGCTTCATTAGGTGATGGCAGATGAAACACATTACAATCAGAAAAAATATCTAAGTATCAATTGTCTCCGTCATTATCATTTTTAACTAGGTTCAAAACAATCATTGAGGATCAGGATCTTACAAGCACTGACACATTTGTCGATGAATTCACTTCTAAGATATCTTTTAAGGGTTAAAATTTAACCAGTGAAAAAAATACACACACCACAATAACCTGCTTCATATGCGTATAATCACACAAAGTTAATAGCAAAATAAGAAAAGACATAAGATTTAACATGTTGCGGCAAGTATGTCTATATCTATGGGAAAGATTATGAAGAGACTTTGCATTATGATGAAAAATGAGAATACATCACTATAAGGTTGTAAACTTTTATATAAACAAAATACTCTGATTTCCTTGCAGAATATGCACAAAATATTCTCAGAATCAAGTCATATCAACACTACTATGTTATAAATACAAAAATAGAAGGCACAACAAGAATAGAAAATTGACATTCAATTTGTAATATCCAGATCAGAAATTTGATCCAGAAATAATTTTAACATTTTAAATATATAAAAAAATTATTTTAGAATTAATTTATTTTAATTTTTTATTGAATCGTTGGAAAAAAAAATATGTTAGAAATGAAACTGAAAATAATTTTGAGAAAAATAGGTAAAAATTTAGGTACGGGGGGTGTTTTTGAAAGAAAAATCAAAAACTGAGAGTCAGAGTGCAAATAAAAAAAATTTTGTCACGTAGAGCCGCCCAGTCAACAATCCCGACAAATCGGAGCACGCCGCGTAGCAAGCCGTGCTGACACGGAATGCCACGCGGGCGATCTGCGTGCCCCGCGATTGAACGGCCCAAGATCGATTCTGCGCGCGTGGACGATCCAGATTTGTTCTCCTTTTAAACGCAATTGGACGGTTAAGATCAAATCACGATGAACGGTGCAGATTCATTTCCTCTTTAAACGCGATCGGACAATTAAGATCAAACGTGATGAACGATCCAAATTAACGTGAGATAGGTATAAATATTTCGTATCACACTGAACTCAAACCATAGCCGCCAGCTTCCTGCCGGAGAAGAAGAACCAGTCGCCGGAGAAGGGAGCCGACCGTCGACCGCTGCCGCACCAGAGCCACCTCTGACTGCCAAAAAAGGTAAAAATTCTTTTATCCGCTCGAAATTTGATTCTGAACACCCATATCGCCAAATCGAAGCAAAAGGAACAACAGATGAGCCAGAAATCACGAGAAAACCCAATGGCGCCGCCGCGGACAAAACCCGCAACCTCCTCCGATGAGCCCTTCCCATTTCCCATTTCGTGCGATTTTTCTACCGTTGTGTTCACCGTTCTGTTTTCTACAGGTTGACCGAAGAAAAACTCCTGACCGTGAAGGTGAGCCGGTAAAGCCGCCGCACCCAGGAAACCCCACAACCGATAGATTTTTATTTTTTGATTTTTTCGGTCAACCAAGCCTCCCTAACGTCTTTTTTCGCAATAATATATATAAAGCCGGCCGAAACCGGCAAAAATTGGTCGAAAACGGTCAGGCCAAGGTAAAGCGACGCCACAGGCAGTGGTGTAGTCGCCGGAGCACAGCAGCACCGTCGTGGGCGGTGGTGTCGTCGCCAGAGCACGACAGTATTGCCGTATCGGAACTCCGAAATTAGCCAAAAATGATTTTTTTCACTGATTTGGATTTCTAAAGTTTTTTTAGGTACGTGACAAGTATTTTGGATTCCGCATGGATAATTCAGGAAACCTGGGGACCGCCAATAGGTGCAGTAGAAAGTTCAGTGTTTCAGACCTCGATTCGGGTAAGGATCTCTTACCCTTTTCTCCGTTACGGCAAATTGAAACTCAATAATTAATAATTGTGTGTTTTTACGAAAAATTAGAGAACTCTAAAATTAATTACAGGTCACTAGTAAAACCGAAATCGGTTAGTTCACAGTCGTTTTGATTTCATATTTATTTCCCTGTATTGCCTATATTTGTTTACTATTATACTGTGCGTAACTCAATTGATGGTTTTTTGGGTCTTTTTGGTTATTCTGTTATTTTTTTCCTCTGCATTGCGCGCCGGTATCCCGATCATTGATTATTTGGCGGTATGAAACTATATTATTGTTTAAGTGAACAGTGAGTATAAAATGAGATATGATTATTGCATGATTGATTATTATGCTGATAGAAATCTATATAGGAAAGACTTAGAGGGTACCCGAAAAATGGCGGATGGACTCGGTACATAAGAAACCCTACCGTCAACGTTATCTCAGTCGAATGGGGCTGGAAAATCCCTTACCAGGAAAATTTGGAAGATATGTTTCACCCTTATATCAGATGGGATATCGAAGTGGTGGCATGTTTGGCGCCCATACCGAACGGGGTATAGGAATGACCGGTTAATTGTTTAATTGGATATTGGACTCACGAGTAGGATGATATTCCTATGAACCCCAAGAGGTACCGGTAAGCGAGTAAAAATATAAAATGATCATTCTTATTATCTTTTATGTAATAAATAATAGTGCATGAATATGAATTTTTATAAGTTATTGTTGGAAAAAACTTATTACACAAAATAGAATAAATGACATTAAATTAAGTGCTTCATTGGTTATTTTTCTGATTTTTACAAATTTTCAGTTTTCCGTATCTGTTATTAATGTGATATTCTTACTACGCTAGTGTAACTCACCCATTCATTAAGTATTTCAGATCAAGAGGACCAACATCCAGATCTCAATCAACAATAAAGTTGCGAATAATTCACCACCTGAACTCCCTTCAAAAGTTAGTGAAGGTCGTTCTAGAATGCTCAGTGATTTGTTTTTCGTTTATTTCTTCAATTTCCTTTTGTTCTTTTAAAATGAACATTCTCGTATTTCTATTGAACATTCTAAATTATTGTGTAAGTAATACAAACCCTAACTCTATTATTTCACTTCTGTATTTAATTTATGATTTTATTTTATCTAAGTTTCTGGACCTTTACACAATTAAATATAAAATTTTAATTAGTATTAGATTTCTAAATAGTTGAAATTCTAATTAGTATTAGATTCCTAAATAACATATATATTTTCCATTAGTGCTTGATTCCTAAATAGTATAGGATTTCCAGTATTTTAATAAAGTATTCCTAATTAGATTTAGACTTCAAATTAAATTAATATTTCTAAATTATTGTGTAAGTAATACAAACCCTAACTCTATTATTTCACTTCTGTATTTAATTTATGATTTTATTTTATCTAAGTTTCTGGACCTTTACACAATTAAATATAAAATTTTAATTAGTATTAGATTTCTAAATAGTTGAAATTCTAATTAGTATTAGATTCCTAAATAACATATATATTTTCCATTAGTGCTTGATTCCTAAATAGTATAGGATTTCCAATATTTTAATAAAGTATTCCTAATTAGATTTAGACTTCAAATTAAATTAATATTCCTAAATAAGAATTGTAGGGTATGTTTAATATTAATAAAAACAAATTAGAATATTATTTTAAATTACAAGATTAGAATTCTCTTTAACAAGATCCAATGTAGCAACTCCCTTTGATAAATTGTAATTTATTTTCACAAAATAGATCGCTTTCGCAATAAGAACAAGGGTGTTAACCGTTTACTTAAAGATAACTTAGTTGTTGACCACCCGGTGACTCGATAATTAAGAGAACATAACATACTATCACAAAGATATTATATTTCAACTAAGCTACTACTTACACTGTTAAGATGGATGCAAAATCCCCCAGGCTATCGCTCAAATTTCCACCCAAATTCATGCCACTTAGTCTTCTGTAAACACAATAACTTGTAAATTCAGCAAACAGAAATCTTCATCAGTTGACGAACATAAAAACAAGAGGAACCGACATACATCTCTGTTATGTTTGAGAAGACACAGTACACGCCCAGCCACCCCTCACCACATGGGTCTCCTCCAAACGAAACCCATCCAGGAAGAGAAGGGGAGCCCAGAGAAACATACAAGTCATTAATTGCCATAACTGAAATTTCAAACATAAGACGCTAATCAATTTAGCTTTCCAAGATTATAAAAGAATAACTTGAAAACTTGAAAACAAAAGTTTGAGAACATAAGCAGATCAAAACAATCGTTCATCAATGTAGAACTTTTTATCTCTGTGTCTATCAAGCATAGTTAATCAGTAATTATCTACACCAGAAGTTCATCAACTTTCCGGCACATTTTCCCTTCAATTTCCTTCACGCTTTCAGGAGACGCAAACAGAGCATGATTGAAGGGAAAGTTTCAAGTTTTCTAAAATAAGCAGCAAGCAAACAAACAAAACCGAAAATTTTCTACATCATAAATATGAAAAGAAGACTATACCGTCACGAGCATCAGTCTCTCCAGAAACAGAAAAGGGCAGCGTTAAAACCAGTAGGGGGAACCCAAACAACATCCCCCAACTCGCAAAACCCATTTATCTTCTCAATATTGGAAGAACCCACCTCAAAGATCAAAACTTTTCATTCAAGCTCCGTCCTTTTTCCCGTATACTTCCTCGGGAAACAAACACCAAACTTCTTGGCTCAACAAATCATGAAAAAGAGCGACCTTGACAAGACACAGAGAGGATTGTACCGCAGGAGAGTGAGAGAAAGAGGGGAAAACAAGAACTAATAAAAGAATCTGAGGGTGAGAGGGAGAGGGAGAGGGAGAGGATGAAAAAAGGAAAGTGGATCAACGAATTTGAATTCTCTAGATTAGGAAGAGGATGAGAGAAGAGGAAAGAGGTTCAAGGATTCATCTTTTTGCCTCTCAGTGTTTTGGTTTCCATAGCAAGAGCTAAATTTTCTGTAACGGATAATTTGAAAGGGAAATCTTTTATGCATTTTTCTTGCTTTTTCTTTTCAATTTCCTCTTTTTTTTTCTCCACAAGAGGGTCCGATTTGTTGACTAAGTGATAATTATGGGAGGTGAGTGTTTCATGATCTTCTCCCCGTGATGAATCCAATTAAAAAATAATTTTCGAATTTCTTTTCTAATGTTTTCTCCTTTCACTTTTTCCCCCTTTATCATTATGTCGTTTGCTTTTGTGCTGTTTGTGTCTCGAGTCCCTCAAGTGCCTTTTCTTTTTTTTTAATTTCTCAAGGACCTTAAATTCTTTAACTTAATTTATAAAATAAATAAATTAAAATTTGCAATCTACGAAATTATTTTAATTAATTATATATAAATTATTATTCACTAAATAAATAAATTTTAAAAATTAAATACTAAAAATAAATTAAAGTCAAATATAATACAAACAATCTCGCACAATAGGTAATGCGACAAGTAATTTACCATTATATTTTCATAGTTTAATAAAATATTTTTATATAATATATTTAACTTTTGAAAAATTAACGGATTTTTTTTTTTACAGATTTCACTAATTTTTATATTAATTAATGTGATAATAAATTGAGTGAAAATATTATTTTCAAAAAATTGGAATTTTAATGCAATATTAATTAATACAACATAAATAAAAATAAAAATTTATTTTTGTAGAGAAAATATATAACTATAACACAAACAGGATAATTTAGTGGAAGAAAATTGAGATTTAAAATATATTTATTACTATTATTACTATATGAACATGATTGAATTTGTTTACCTTGTAAGTCTATAATGAAAAAATCACTTACCCATAAGTCTATGCAAATTATTACATAATAATGTATTATCCTACATATATTTAAATTATTTAACATACTCGCATAAATTTATTTATAAATCGATCTGTTTCGAATGTGAAACCTCGAACATTTTTTGTTATCATTTAAATATATCAAATTTAATTAATAGGCTTAATTTTGTAAATGAGTGCCAAAATTTTCACTAGCCAACCATACGTATATGCATATATATGCCTATACACACATGCACACACATGCAAAGGATGTGAAACGAGGAATGAGATAAAAGCGTAGGTGACAAGGAATGTGTTGGTTCGCGCAGGAGAAAGAAAAAAGTAAGCCATGACGACCGTTGGATCAGTCAGGTGTGATGGCCAACAAACGGTTGTGATTTCAAGATGGGGGAGGCCTTGGGCCCCGGTGGTCGAATCTGATTGAAAATCACAATCCAAACACGTACAGTTTCCTCACATGCGATGTTCGAGCCATACGACGGAAATCCACCGTGCGCCGCATTTGTTAAATTTCAGTGACACAAACCACACTTTGACTTTGACTTTGACTTTGACTTGAGTAATTATGTCGCGATAATATTTATTTATGTTCGTAAAATATAAAATAATATTGTTTAATTGTTGTATTAATAATTATTAAAATACATTTTGGAAAATAATTATCTGAAAATGATTTAAGGTATCCTCTGGAGTAATCTTGGGCTTTTGGAAAGTAATATAATAGACATAGTATTTGGACCACCCATTTCTTTTGGAATTGTAAGTACCCAAAATTTTAGGAGATGGTAACCATTGACATTTTGTTTCATTCACTTCTCACCAAAAATTTCCTAGTGAATTGAATAATTTGATTGATGACTAATTCAATTTATGGGCATATACATATGTAATTTAATGTGTATTGTTGTTTTAAAGTATAGTTAATTTTATTTGTAGTATAATGAAGTCGCTAATTTAATTTTAAAGTATTAAATTGTCTCGAGTTTAATGTATAAAATTTAAATTATTATTTTTAATTTTATGAGGAGTCAAGTTATAAATAATAAAAGTATTTAATTTTTTTATGTGTTTTTTAAAAGGTTATGGTACTTAATTTAAGTTTAAGATTATTTTAAATTGAAAAAATCAAACATTAACCATCGAGAAGATGAGGGTATGTTTCTACTTTGCAATTAGTGTGGATTGGGTCAAAGACTATTTTGCCAACATATAAGAGTGTTGTTCCTATTAACTTTTAGTGGTAATTTCAAATGCATATGGTGGCATTAGACAATCGAGATAATAGTCTTAGTTTTCATCTCACATCACGTGTCGTGTGCATAATGTTATCTGTATGAAAACCTCTCATCGTGCATCATATATACAATAAGTAATAATATTAACAAATTATAAGAAAGTACATCAATTCATATGAAAATTTGTTTAGATACAATCGAAATGTGTTATATGGTGTAATAATCGGATCCGAAATTTGGTCCGAGATTAATTTTAACGTTAGAAAATGTATAAATATTTAATTTTAAAATTAATAAATTTTAATTTAATGTAGAATTATGGAAAAAAAACAAGTTGAAGATGAAATTAAAAATAATTTTGAAAAAAAACGATGAAAATTTGGGTACGTATGGTATTTTTGAAAGAAAAATCGAAAATTTGGGGTCATAATGCAATTACGAAAAATTTTACAACGTAGGACTACTCAGTCAGCAGCCTCGACGAACCCAAGCGCGTCGCGTGGCAAGGCATGCTGACTTGATGCCATGCGGGAGGCCACGCTGACGATCCGCGTGCCCGCGATCAGACAACCCAAAAACATTCCCACGCGCGTTGACGGTCCGAATACATTCCCTCATCAGACGCGATCTGATGATCGCGATCAAATGTGATTAACGATTCATATTCGTTTTCTCTTTAAACACGATCGGATAGTTGAGATTAAATCATGATGAATGATCCAAATTCATTTCTTTTTTAAACGCGATCAGACGGTTGAGATTAAACGCGATGAACAGTCCAAATTAACATGAGACGAGTATAAATATTTCGTATCACACTAAATATAAACCCTAGCTGACAGCCTCCCGTCAAAGAACAAGAACCAGTCGCCGGATAAGGGAGCCGACCGTCGCCCGCCATTGCGCCGGAGCAACCTTCGACTGCCAAAAAAAGTAAAAATTCTCTTATCCACTCGGAATTTTATTTTGAGCACCCTCATGGCCAAATCGAAGCAACAGGAATGGCGTGTGCACCGAAGATTGCGGTCAAAGCCCGACGGTGCCACCGCAAGCAAAATTTTTCCACTATTGTGTTCATCGTTCTGTTTTCTACAGGTTGACCGAATAAAAACACCCAACCGCGAAGGTGAGCCGGCAGAGCCTCCGTACTGGAAAATTCCACCACCAATAGGTTTTTGTTTTTTAATTTTTTCCGGCCAATTGATGCCCCATAACGTGTTTTTTTGCAGAGATGGGTATAAAACCGACCGAAAAAGACCAAGTCGAGTCAAACCGCTGCTGCGAGAGGCGGTGCCGTCGTCGGAGCACGACAGTTCCACGTGAGGCAGTGCAGTCATCGGAGCACGACGGTACCGTCCTGGTGGAACCCTAAAATTGGCCAGAAAAGGATTTTTTAATACCAATTTTGAATTTTTGGGATTTTTTTAGGTACGTGAAGCGTATTTTAATCTCTCCAAAAAAATTCAGGAAACCCAGGGATTGCTAGTAGCCACAGTAGAAAGTTCGGTGTTTCGAACATCGATTCGGATAAGAATCTATCACCTTATACTCTGTTATGGAATTGAAGCTTAGTAATCGGTAATATAGTATTTTGTACAATTTAGAAAACTTTGAGAATAATTATAAGTTATTAATGGAGCTAGAACTAGTTAGTCATTTATTTGTTGTCTTGTGTAACTGATTGTTGAATTTACAGCTTTAAATACATGATCATATATTGGAATGGTCGAATGATTCAGTTGTGCTTCCTTAAAATATATATATCGCTTGTCTTACGTGATTTACGGTTGATTTGTAAAATTGAAAATTAATATGCAAACAGAAAACTGTTTGATCATATGAATTAATGAATGGTAGTCTTACTAGATATCTTTAGAGATGATGGATGGACTGGGTACATCAATTCATATAAAAACTTGTTTAGATACAATTGAAATATGTTATATGGTGTAATACTCAGAATCGAAATTCGGCACAAGATTAATTTTAACGTTTAAAAATAAATAAAAATCTAATTTTGAAATTAATACATTTTTATTTAATGTAGAATTATTGAAAAAAATAAGTTAAAGACGAAATTAAAAATAATTTTGGGAAAAATGGATGAAAATTTGGGTTTGGATTGTATTTTTAAAAGAAAAATAGGAAATTAGAGGTTAGAATGTAATTAAGAAAAAATTTACCACGTAAGACTGCCCAGTCAGCAGCTTCGATGAATCAGAGGCGTTGCGTGGCAAGGCACGTTGACTCAGTGCCAGACCAGAGCCCACGCTGGCGATCCGCGTGCCCGAAATCAGACGACCCAAAAGCGTTCCTACGCACATGGACGGTTCGGATATGTTCCCTCCTCAGGTATGATCGGATGATCGCGATCAAATGCAATGAACGATCCAGACTCTTTCCTTCTTTAAACACGATCAGACAGTCGAGATCAAATCGCGATGAACAGTTCAGATTCATTTCCTCTTTAAACAGGATCAGACAGTCGAGATCAAATGCGATGAATGATCCAAATTAACTTGAGACGAGTATAAATATTTT